TTTTTTTTTTTTTTTTCAGAGTGGTTTGGGTAACCTGAGATTTGAAGATGTAAGAATCATGGATGAGGGATGAGGTGGTTCTCTTATTATTCTGCAGTTTATCCAGAATTGGCTTGGCTTTTGAGTTTCCATATTTGACCAAGAAGTATTATTAAATAATTTTTTAGCTTTTGAGTATGCATATATGAGAAAGAAGTATTAAATTATTGTTAGGGATGTAAAACTGAAGATCTGTCCTGTAAACTTTAACTCAATCCACAATAAAAACCTTAAATAAAAAATAAAAAATATTAGGGAATGAAGAAAGAATTGTGTGGCTCATGTTCTAATCATGGTATATTTCTGACATGTACATATTTATTTTTCCATTTCAGACAATAGATGATTTGCTACGATGTGGAATTTGCTTTGAATATTTCAATATTGCAATGATGATTCCTCAGTGTTCTCATAACTGTAAGTGTGCATTGTTTCTTTTAGTAAAACTGTGATTGTTATAGGTTATTATTGTAAAGTGCTGTCAAGTTGATTCCTACTCATGGAGACCCTATACAGGGGTTTTGAGGCTGTATGTCCTTGTGGTTGACTTACTGTTATTGTTGTTAAGTGCTGTCGCGTCAGTTCCGACCCATAGCAGCCCTGTACAGGGTTTCCAAGGCTATAAATCTTTACAGGAGCAGAATACCTCATCTTTCTCCCACGGAGCAGCTGGTAGTTTCAAACTGCTGAACTTGTGGTTCACAGCCCGATTTGTAACCACTACCACTTACAGTAAGGAGCTCTGGTAGCGTAGTGGTTACGAATCGGGCTGTGAACTGTAAGGTCAGCAGTTCGAAACTACCAGCGGTTCCGCGGGAGAAAGATGAGGCGTTCTGCTCCCGTAAAGATTAACAGCCTCGGAAACCCTGTGCAGGGTCGCTATGAGTCGGAACCGACTCCACGGCACATAACAACAACAACAACAACAACCACTTACAGTGACCCTCTATTGGGTTTCAGAGGCAGTACAACTTTGCAGGAGCAGGAAGTCTCATCTTTCTCTTATGAAGTGACTGGTGGACTTGAACCACCGACTTCATGGTTAGCAGTCCAGTGCTTATAATATGGAGCCACTGCTCTCCCCTTTTACGTAAGGTGTGGTTATATGCCTCATCTTTCTCCCAAGGAGTGGCTGGTGGTTTTGAATTGCTGGCCTTGCCGTTAGCAGCCCTACATGTAAACCATTCTGCTGCCAGAAATACCAAAGATACTGCAGTTACTTGTTTCTGAAGTTTAGTTCCTATCTTGAAGTTTTCACAAGGCTCTTGTTTCCTCCTATCTCCTATCTTTTGCACCACTTCCCTCTTGCATATTGAAGTTTTTACAAAGCTCCTATCCTGGTGGCACAGTAGATCAGCCATAATCCAGAAATACTTTGATTCTTGTAAATATGTCCTAAAATGAATGAGCATTATTTAGTATTTAAAAATGAATAACTAGGGCTGAGGGAAGTTAAGTAGTGATTAAGAATGAAGACCATTAACGAGCTGATAAATATTTGAGCTGGATGATGGTTACGTGAGGATTCGTTAATACTACTTTCTCAATTTTTGTGTATGTTTGAACTTTCCCACAAAGGAAGTTTGAAAATGAAGTAAGAATTGCAGAGAGAGAAAGATTTTCCTTTGAGAAGAAACAGAAGCAAAATATAAACATAAAAGCACAATCTTAATAGTCTCTTTTCTTCCCAGAAGCTGGATTTGGTACAAAGTATGTTCTAAGAAAAGCTTTCATTGCATTATGGCAAAGTAAAACACACACCAGTCAACTAATGGATAAAACTGTCACTAGTAAAACACTTCCACAGCTCTATAGAGGTATTTCTTTTCATCTAATTGCTTACTGGAGTCCTGGTGTAGAGCTGTAGAGAAAGCACTGTACTGTTAACTGAAAGATCGGCAGTGCTTCTTGTAAACCCTATACAGGGTCTCTATGAGTTAGAACCAACTCCACAACACTTTACAACAACATGTTTACTAGAGATAATTTTGCTTCTTGCTGTTATTTATAATTCAGATGAATTTACTTCTACTCATTTGATCTCTGACTTCAATACATTCCAGTAAGGAATGGTAAATTATTCATTATTCTAACATTAAAATTAATTTGTTTATTCATGTACCAGTTGTCCTCATGAAGCTTATTCAATAGCTAGGGAAAGGAAAAAAGACATACATAGCATATGTGAAAATGCTATGGGGAAAAAAATAAGGCTGAGTATGAGGAGGAGTTGAGTGTGAGTCTCTTTATGGTCTCCTCAGAGATAACCCTCCCTGAATAAATAGAATCCCAAAGGAAGTGGAGGACTGTAGCATATGGAGATGTGGGGAAACATGGTTTGAAGAAATAACAGCAAGCATAAAGTCTCGATGATCAGAGTGTGCTTAACTTGTTTGACAAACAGCAAGAAGACCAGTATGATTGCTTCTTTAAATGTCTGATAAATTTTGATTGGGTGCTTGCCATTGTAGCCTTTCTTTTTTTAAAAACTATTGTGAATTTAGTGAAGGTTTACAGAGCAGATCATCAGTTTTACATTCAACAAATCATAGACTTTGCTTCATTATAATGATTGCAATCCCCTCCATGTACCAACAGTTAACAGTGTTTACCTCTATTCACTTTAATTATTGCATCCCTTCCTATGTTTTCTGCTACCTTCATCTTTTCTTTGCCAACCTATCTTTTGTGGTATATCGCCTGCCCTGTCACCCATGTTAACTTGTGTCTACCCTCTAGCCCAAGAATAATTTTCCCTCTGCTCCCCTCCTCCCCCACTTCCACCCTTGGGAACCATTATAGAGTGGTTCTTTTATCAAGAATACATTTTCTTAACTTTGCAACAGTGGGCCAATGTTTGTCCTTTTGTGATTGAATAATTTCACTCATCATAATGTCCTGCAGGTTCATCCATGTTGTGAAGGGTTTTGCAGATTCATCATTATTCTTCAACATTGTGTAGTATTTCATTGTGTGCAGGTGCCAAAGTTTATTTAACCATTCTTCTGTTGCTGGGCATTTAGGTGAGCTCTATCTTTTTGTATTGTGAATAGTGCTGCAGTGAGCATGGGTGTGCATAAATCTATTCATATCATGGCTCCTATTTCTTGAGGATAGATACCAAGTAAAGGAATTGCTGGGTCATATGGTATTTCTGGAGTCCTAGTGTGGCACTATAGGATAAGCACTGGACCGCTAACATCAACTACTCCTTGGAAACCCTATACAGGGTCATTACGAATCAGAAACAACTCGATGGGACTTAACAACAGCAACAACTTTTTGAGAACGTGCCATACTGTTTACCACAGTGGTTGCACCATTTTACAGTCCTCCCAGCAGTGTAGGTAGATCTGAGTGTCTCCACATTCTCACCAGCATTTGTTATTTTCTTTTTTTTGAACTTTGCTATTAATGCTGGAGTAAGATGACATCTCATTGTTGTTTTGATTTGCATCTCTAGTGGCTAATGATCATGAGCATTTCTTCATGTTTGTTGGCTGCCTGAATGTCTTCTTTGGTGAAGTGTCTGTTCATGCCATCTGCCCATTTTAAAATTGGATTGCTGTTGTAAATTTTTGAGTGTCAGATTTTGTTTTATTCTTTACTGGATTGTTGGATTTCGTGTGACAGTTACTTGTGGATCAGACTACTCTTTTCAAGGTATGTTCTTAAGCTTTGTTAGAGCAGGTCTAGAGTAACCTTTACTTTAGGGATCATTTACTGTCTGACCCTCTGGGATTTCTACTCAGTGTCCTGTGTATTCATTGAAGGCCTTTGTAATCTGGTTGGTGGAAATTTTAACAGTTCGTGGCCCTGTATAACCAAAGAATAAAACAGATCCTTATTCAGATTCCTGACAGTATTCCTCTATGTAGAAGGAGCCCTGGTAGTGCAGTTTGTTAAGTGTTGGGCTGGTAATCACAGGTTTGAGCCCACCAGCTTCTCCACAAGAGAACGATGAGGCTAGTTGCTCCTGTAAAGCTTCACAGTCTAAGGAAGCGCTTCCTGCAGAGAAGCTCTACTCCTTCCTACAGGCTGACTGTGAGTCTGAATTCACTTGATAGCTGGCCCTGGGTTTTGTTTGTTTTTGTTTTTTTTTTCTGTGTATCTATTCTTTCTGGTACTCCACCCTACAAACTCTAGATAGCTGGAGCTCCCTGAACTTTGATCTTTGCTTCTTCTATTAGAGAGACTAATAGGCTCTGTTTGACAATTCTCCCTGTGGTGAGGTGAACACGAACGATTTCTCTAGAAAGTTTGGGCTGTGGTAGAACTCCCCGTTTTGCTGCTCATTGTCTAATGTCTGAAATAGTTGTTTCATTTTTTCCCCCCTAGTATTTTAGTTGCTTATGGCAGGAGGGTAAATCTGTTCCTGTTACTTCCTCATGGACAGCAGTGGAGATTCTTTCTGTGAATTTTAATTCTGTTACTCTGGGAAGAGTTTTCTCTTTATGAATTCAGTGAGTTCTACTTGATAGCTAAAGAATTAGCCTTTTCTTCTCATCTCTTTTCTCTGTTTTCTTCTTTGTCACACACAGCTGCCATTGATGTCAACTTCATCTCAGAGGAAAGAGCAGAGAGCCCTTCCAATTATGATTGTCTGTATTTTAAGAGTAGCCCCCATGGTGCAGTAGACCTTGTCTCTTTTGATTAGGGTACAAACACCAGTAGTTATGGACACTCTTCTAGTCTGAAAGTTGCTCTTGGTCTGCAGTGTTCTTTGAATGCCATAAAGCCCACAGAGCTTCAGTAGGAGCCAGGTCTATCCTGACCTATTTTCTGGATTGACCAGAATTGGTGATCTAGCCACTCACTGTCATTTCTTAAATATTACAGAAAGTATCTTTTTTTTTTGGCATGGTATTGTGATTTGGGTGAAAGTTTACAGAGTAACGTGCTTTCCCATTCAACAGTTTATATGTGTTTTGCTTTGTAACATTCGTTGCAGTCCCCTCTTCCCCAGATCCCTTGTGTCCATTTATCCTCCTTTCCTCCCCCTTCATGCCTTCTGAACTTTTTTTGGTGATGGTTGGGAATGCTGCCCTTTTGGTCACATATAGTTGATCATTCTGAGGAGCACGTTCCTCATGGGTGTTGCTGTTACTTTATCGGCCTGTCTGTTATTTGGTTGGAAGATGATCCCCAAGGATGGGCTCATTTCCAGGTCTGAAGAATGTCTAAGGGCCAAAGTCTTGGGGGGTTACACCAGTCTTGATCAAACTAGTAAGTCTGATCTTTTTATGATTTTGAATTTTGTTTGACAGTTTTTTCCCTGCTCTGTCCAGGCCCGTCTACCATGATCCGTATCAGAGCAGTTGGTGGTGGTGGCCACGACTATCTGGTTCTTCTGGTCATAGGCTAGTGGAGGCTGTGGCTTGCATGGCTCACTAGTTCTTAAGTTTTTGGGTTCTTTA